TTTATTTACATCATTCATTACATTTAATTTCGTGCATAACCACATGCTTCCTTTACATGTTAATTAAAATTCATTGAGAAATTTCTAACAGTGTATATATATTCATGATTATATTTATTGTATGATGAGGAATGAACAGAATATACATATATATATAGTACGTTTCGACATCAGCTACACGAATCTGTAACAAAAACTGACGAGTTCCATTTGAAATTTTTTACGTTATTTGTATGCAGCTCGTAAGGGTCATTTCAAGGTCATGCCGTCTATGCCACATAATACATCTTTTCATACCATAAAAATTATGTCTAAGACATTTTGTCGAAAAATGAATAGTTTCGGAAATAATTGTTTGCTTCCATACTTTTTCCCCACCCTGTATATTTTAATACACGCTCTACACACGATCATTTTGTTCTTTTACTTGTCAACATGCGCGTGAATTTTTATATGGTTTTTTGTACCTGAAGAGGACCTACGAGATATACGAGATCGAAACATATGTTATGTAATATAATGTAATGTGTGTGTGTGTGTGTGTGTGTGTGTGTGTGTGTGTGTGTGTGTGTGTGTGTGTGTAATGTGTAATGTATTAATAATTATTTTTTCTACGACAGAAACTATTAATTTATAAAGACTATTATGTAATTTCATATTTTTTAATTTTCACGTTGTAAAGGTAATAAATTTCAACTCTTATATGCCCTTTGTATAATAATCATTATCGTATATATATATTTTATATATTACGTTAATATATATTACGTTTAATATATATTACGTTTAATTCTATACATAGAAAAATTTCAAGTGTGGAATACTCCACATCAACCATTTATTATAGTCGATGCTCCTGAGAGCATCGACGTAGTAAATTTACAATCCGCTTACTTTCAAATCTCTGTGAAGAAGTTAATCACAATGACAATAAGGCCGCGATCCGATTCACGCTCACAACGCTTAAAAATCATTTCATCCTTGTTGTATTTGACAAATGTTTAAACGAAGATAAATGATGCTGATGAGCGTTATTAGCATGAATCGGACCACGACCTAAAAGGTGTATCGTTCGATCTGCAGGGACGAAAATAGGAAATATATAATAGGAGCTCCTATTCTTCGGGATCTTACAGTGACCCTATTCTTATGTCGTTCCGTTCTATTCAGATGTAAAAAAAATTTGTATGACACATATGAAGTATACAGATTATAAGATAATATTCACATCAAAACCAGAGCTGCCAAAGGCGTCGAGTGTTACATAACTATGGTTGCCATCCGTCCTCTTTTTTATAACGTCCGGGGGGTTTTCGAAAGGCGTCCGGGATAATCATGAGAGTCCGGGGTTTTTTATATAAAAAGGAAATATTTCTTGACTGGATGGCAAAAAAAACTTTGGCGTGTAAGTGTAGTGTTGACATTAAAGATTAGCAGCCCTGTTGGACGCAAGTTGAGAATAAAATTTATCCGCATATAGTGTAATGCCAGTTGCACACCAGCGCGATGTTCGTCGCGCGCGACATGCGATATTCAATGAGCGTATAGCTTTAGAATGAGAACATCGGTAAAGCTGTACTCATTGGATATCGCGTGTCGCACCAGTCGCGCGCGACCTGTAAGATGTTATACTGTAAACATGATAATAATGTTATACTGTAAACATGATAATAAAGAAATGATAGTATTGTGCAATTTGTAAAGAAAAAGCAACTAAATATATGTACTTATAGCGTTTTCGGCCCGGGTTTGTACCAATCTGGGTTGGATATTATTGGCGTTTTGTGCTCTCCTATTGGTAGAGCATGTGACGTCAATCCATAGGAAAGATTAATCCAACCAAGATTGGTGCAAACCCGATCGGGCCGAAAATGCTATTAAGAAGATAGGTCAAATATTTTTTGATAACGTATTATCAATTAAAGAAAAACCCCTGTTAATGGAAATATTATTTATCTAAAAATTTAAAAGGCTTATATGTGAAATAATTATATCTAGAGCACCAAAAAAGGTAAGAGCAAATGTATGCGTCCGGGGTAGCAAACAAAATGTCCGGGATTTTCGGTTCATCAGTTCTAGTTTTTGAAATGACAATCCTATACATAACTCGTCTCGATCAAATTGTTCGGTCCAACGAAATACACACAAATATCAGAGCAGGATTACAATTTTTGTAGCGAGTACGAAAAAAAAATAAATACTTGTTGCAAAGCATTTCTCAATTTGTGATTCCAATATTTGCAAATTTTATTTGCCGCTATCTCGCAGGATCAATGTTTGCAGTTAACTTTTTCCCCTTTGTACAACCTCGAAGCAAATATCGGATCGGAGATGTAATAACAGTATAGAAACACAAATAATTTAATTAAACTGATTCGTTGTGTTCCACCGGCAGCCGAAATAAAACCTTCAAACGTTAAAGGAAAGTTTCCCGGGTAGCATAGTATTGATTCATATATGTTTTATATACATTTTCTAAATTTTTCTAATATTCTACAAATATCTTAGAAACGTACATAAAACCAAACATTAATTCGAAATATTTGGGCGATTGAAAGCAATAATAGCGCAGTAATTGGTGCGTTTGATATTAACAATAATATATTTCCTTTCTTACATTATAAATCGATCGAACGTTTCAGCTCCATTCGAGCCATTTTCAGCGATACAGTAATTACATGTGATGTCCTTGTTTAAAATTTACGTGATATATTAAATCGTAGAGTGCAGCAGCAGAGTCTCTCAATTCCAAATTTAAGAGCGTAACTGTCTCAAAAAACTATACGGCTAAATGATCGCTACTGCACTCATTGACTGCACAATGGAAGACATTATATTACTGTTATTCAAAACGTAAATTCAGAAATATTATTCGATATCGTTATGGACTTCTATATCGAACTAAGTCCGTTACAAATGTTATTATACGCTACGTTCTTAAATTTGGAATTGTAAGAGACTTTGCTTGTTGCACTCTGCGGTTTAATGTATCACATGAATTTTGAACAAGGACATCACATGTAATTACTGCATCGCTGAAGATGGCTCGAATGGAGCTGAAACGTTCGATCGATTTATAATGTAAGAAAGGAAATATACTATTGTTAATAACGCACCAATTACTGCGCTAATATTGCTCTCAATCGCCCAAATATTGCTAATCAATATTTGTTTATTATCTAGAGAGCTCAATTTAGATTATTATTTTGTTTTGTATATAAAACTAACATGTGCTACTGAGATTACGTTTATCCCACTGCTACGGCTGGATTGTTATTTATCATTCAGCCTTCAATGCATTATTTATGTTCATATCAGTTATAATTCCAAAAGTACTGCAGCTATTATAATGCAGAGTATTTTTGGATTTGTAACTAATAATATTTTGATTGTTATTGCAGGATTCGGACTGTGATATGGTTACGGTTGTGGCTAGTACCTATGATCAATTCAACTTAATCATAACTCAAAGTCTTTATTCTGAGCGTCAGCTTGCAGGAATTAAAGTTTAGTACTTACAACTAGTCGGCGATCCCAGAACCGTATAGTACTCCCCCTTCCTCTTCATATAGCTCGTTTTTTGCCGTTTCGGTGGGGTGGTTTAGTTTTCTTTGGTACTGAATTATCAGCATATCATATTAGCATACTTGGCACTAGATAATCGCAGTGAAATTCAACTACAAAAGAAAAGAAGTTAGGGGCATTATATAGTTGAAATATCGATATTTGCGTGGAGACGTTACGAGGGAGGGAGGGGGACATAATTATAATAATAAGTAGGTGCGCTCTAGCATAAGACGCAAAATTTGGAGGGACGTAAAATTATAATAATAAGCATCAAATATATTGTTACAAAAGAAAATATGAAATTTATTGTATTCGTATTCCTGTATTATGCAAATTAATAAAAATTATTTTTTTTTAGTCATTGATTCGTTGCCGTTGGCGGGGGATTTCAGAGACTTAGCAATCCTGGAACTGGAGCGCCAAAGCAAATCCTAGCGTAAGACGCTAAAGGCCTAACGTCTCCGTATTTGTACGTTCTAGCACATTGCAATTCCAATCTTACAATATCATATACGTTGAATGAGCTACACTTATACATTGAAGCATGATTTGCTACAGATTAGACATATCACATTTCATTCATTAATTAGTAGTGGCATATTTGGCACTGAATCAGTGATTATTCATTGAGTCACATTTAGAAAGTTGGTTTACGAT